TTATTAGTGTAATTGATAATTGCTAATTTAGTTAATTTATTGTTAAATATTATTTATTAATTTAGTCAATTTAATTGTTGTATTTTTGAAAGTTAATTATTTTAGAAAATTATTAATAAGTTATTAGAAATATTTTATATTTTTAGTAATTAAAAAATTAATACTTGTTGAATTTAGAATTAGTAATTAACAAATTAATTAGTGATTAATTTTATTTAGTCGTTCATTAAGTAAATTATTGTGTTAGTTCGTCGAGTACAACCTCAAGCTCGAGCAACTTTACGGTTCCATGCTGCTGATGAGGCACATCAAAAGGAAGTCCATGATCAAACATCTACAAATACGACATAGATCCGAGTACTCGTCACATCGTTGTTGGCTACAACAAATGCGTTGAAGGAGTATAGTCGATAGCAATAGATGATGATGACACAAATGCGACGGATGTTTAAGCGAGCATTTTCATCAAGGTGGTACTTCATTCGTCGTGCTTGAGGCCGACGACGACTCAATCCAAGCTCCGGACGATTCCACCCAACCTCCGAGTGACAATCCAAGCAATTTCTCTTAGCTATTTTTTTTTTTTTTTGTAATAACAAAAACATCGTGTACTCGTTTTCAAGAATTTAATAATTGAATAATATTTATTATGTTTTAATATAATTTATATTAATAATTATGAAATTTTTAAATATTATGTTTTGGATATTTAGTAGACTTTTTAAATAGCAATTGGTTAATTTTAGATATTTAAATTGGAGATGGAAAAAAAATTAAAATCGAGAAAATTAACGACGGTTTTGACCATCGTTAATTTTCAATAAATTGCAATGGTACGTAGACCGTTGCTAAATTACGACGGACTTAGCGAGGGTTTTTTGCACCGTCGTAAATATTCTCTCATTTTACTATCATATTTTGCGACATTTTTTCATTTTAGCGATGGTTTAGTCCGTCGTAAAATTGGCGACGGTCCAAAAATCGTCATAAAAATTTAACGATCGGCATTTTAGCAACGGTCTTTGGACCGTCGTAAAGCCGTCACTAAATTGCATTAGTGACATTTTTTCTGAATTAGCGACGATCTAGATCGTTGCTAATTCAATAGATTTTTGTAATGTATCTTTAAATTAATCGGTGAATGAGCCTTATCCATAAAGAATTATTGTAGTACTTTTTCCTATATATGTTGACTAATGAATAAAAAGTCCATCCTCTAAAATGCTTAAACCATAGGTCGAGACAAAATTTTATTTTTTCAAGGTCTTTTATGTCAAATTTTCTTTTTAAATAACTTATGGCACTTAAAATCTTCTTCGAAATTCTAATTATATTTAAATCATCAATATACACAATAACTATTACAAACCTCTTTTCGAATTTCTTTATAAAGACATATGGACAAATGTGGTCATTTTTATAATCTTCTTTTAATAAATACTCACCGAGACGATTATAAAACATGCTCTTAGATTATTTCAATTCATGTAGAGATTTTTGTAATTTAATTAAATTCATCTCTCAAGAATATATTTTACATGTTTAAGTCATTTTGAAATTTTCATATCGATGTTATTATCAAGTGAACCATATAAATAGGCTATGATCACATCCATTAAATGCATATGAAGTTTTCATGTGTTGTCAATCTAATAAGATAATGAAATGTAATGGCATCCATTATAAAAGAATATTTCACTTCATAGTCAATGCTAGGTCTTTGTAAAAACTTTTATGCTATACGTCTTGCTTTGTATCTCATAATTTTATCTTTTTTCATTTCATTTTTTACACAAATACCCATTTGTATCCTATCGACTTAACATCTTTAGGTGTTTTGACTATAGGTTCAAAAGCTGCTCCTTTCGTGAAAGAATTTAATTATGCTTGGATTGCATCTTTTCATTTAGGCCAATCATCTCTATGTCAATATTGTTAGTGTAGGTGCCCAATATTCAACTTTTTTTGGATGGTTTGAATGTTGTATTATAGCATATTTATTAATAAAGAAGTTTTTCTATTAATTTATGTTATTTATAACTTGATAAATTTAAATAGAAATCCATATGATGTTCATTGCTTTGATGATTGATCAATATATATGAGACAAATACCAATGCACTTAAATAAAATCATTAAATGTTCCAAGTCATAGCATTGTTAAAATTGAACATTAACAATATATGATAAGACTTGTGTATGCTATGCTTTTGCTATATGCTCTTATGTCATTGAAATAATTGTAATATTAAAACGTAAATATATTTTTTGAGATTATATTGATAGATGTATATTTTCAAAAATAAAAAAATTTACCATTATTGTTTGGGCTCTATCTGTTGATGAATGATTCATCTTTACGCTTGTGAGTGTTCGGAAATATCTCATGAGGATTTGAGCTACGACCCAATTTATTATGTTGAAAAAAAATAATATGAGACACAATAAATGTAAAAAATTAATTTATAACCCAATGGATGATATGATTTATCAAACGTTCAACATGTTCAATCAAAGAGATGGATCCCCCTGTATGCCCGGATGGGCCAATACCGATACCACTCATCTCTAGGAAGTGGTTTTGAGACGTTTGTCGAGAATGAGCCCGAAACTCGGGTATGGCCAAATCTCGATGTCGTGCATCTCACATATGCTCGTGTAATAAATGTGGATTTGTTAGTTTTTTACTTCGACTTGTTTAGCATGTCGTCATAGCGCCTATGCCAAACTCTCCTACGTATCCTTAATTAGCGTGTTGACAGTTGCATCCGATAAAAAGTACTTCTAAATGAAATAACAATAATAATATCAGTATATTTCATGCTAAATTAATACTTTAAATAAAATATAAATAAATAATTAATATGTTATCCTAAACTTATTAAAGTAGAAGTCTTTTATCTTCATGGAGACGGAGAGCTTACGAGGTCCAATCACTCCTTAAAAATTACGGTTATTTTTGTGAAGCACTTACTTTATAGAATTAAGTCGTTGAACAAAACAAATAAATAATAAATAAGTGAATTAATAATTCTAATACGATATATGAAAATCTAAAACTAATTACCACATGTAAAACATGTTACTTACCATTTATTGATGATTCGAATGGTCCGCTCGGCATCGGATCTAGTAAAGTTTTCTTGAGTTGAGGAAATTATCAAGGGGACCTCTACGGCTAGAGGCACTACCGAGAGGACACTACTAGCAATGGCGTTGCCCGAGGAGGCATTATTAGTAAGGATGCGGATGTGTCGATGCCACTATCTAGTCAACGACCTCGGATATCGACACTAACGAGTGCCACGACCACATACAACGCCACTATCAATGGCACGATCACGGACATTGTCGGTATCAATGACACAATCATGGATATTGTCACTATTAGAGCCACGACTATTGCCATCAAGATGAGATCTACCGAGTATCAATTTTGAGGAAATTTTAGCAAAGCATATTCACAATTTCACAATATAAAATGTATTTAAAAAAATTTAATAAATTTTTATAAATACTAACTCTAACATTTAAATTCTAAAAATTAAAAAATAAAATGTATATTTTTAACCATCAAATCAATTCATCAAAACTACTTGAGATAAAATCAAGTCAATATTCATATTTAGTAAAAAAATTTTCTAAATAATCATAGTATTATTATTTTGGTAACTCAATTAAGAATTCTTTTTTTTTTAAAAAAAGAAATTGGACTAATAATTTAGTCTAAAAAGTAATTTTATAAATTATTAGTTATCATTTGTAGATAACTATTTATTTGGTTTCGAAAGATTAATATTGAAATAATTTGTAACTAATTATTGACAACAATTACCAATAAATTTTAGAATTAATTAAAATTAGTCACAAATTATGATTAAGTTGCAAATGAATAGTATTGAAAAAATAATATATTTATTAATGAATTAATTAGTTTCAATTGTTTTCACAAATAATTACGAGTCTTATAATAATTATTTTCAATCATTTAAGTATAGTTAGGTGATGTTTGGGATAATGGTAAAAAATAGAGATAAATTATTAAAATATTTATGATAAAAATAAATTTAAGGTGTAAAAATGATTTTTAAGAATATTTAATGTATTTATAAATCGAAAAATCAAATGTTAGTAGAAATAGAAAAAAATAATTAACTAATTAATAGTAATTGATAAAAAATAATTAAAAATTAATTTGATATATTTCAATTTAAAGGAGACAGAAAAATTATTAAAATATATCGAGAGAGTTTAAAGTGAGATCGAGACAGACTCGTAAGAGAGAAAAAAAAATGTTTTTTCTCTTTTCTAACTCGAAAAACACTTTTTCAAAAATATTCTATCATTTTTTATTGAAAATTATTTTTTATTAACTTTTTCTCTAAACACAAAATAAATATTAAAAAATAAAAAATAAAAAGTCCTTAGAACATATTTTTTCTTAAACAAACACAGCCTTGAAGAAAAATAGTACCAACTTGATACTATAGTCTATGCACGCACACGCACAGTTTTGGTGGTTTTTTTTTTTTTTGGTCTGTTTTTATTGGTTTTTTTTTTCTTTTTATGCACGGTACAGATTGATTTGGGTAAAGACCATCTGACTGTCAGGAGTGAGGGTCGTGGGGATGCAAGAAGTCAAAGGAGAGTGATGAGCTGGGTTAAATTTTATTGGGCCTGTAAAACTTGGATAATGATATTATTGATGATGTTAATAATGGACATCCAAAAATTAAATCTCTATATTTCGTTCCCTAACAATCTCTATATATTAATTCCTTTAAGTTCAATTTTTGAGTTTGGAGTATATTTCTACACTAATGCTAATTGAAAAAAATTTTCCAATCACATTTTATTTATAATTCTAAGACCATGGATGGCATCAGTGCTCGTGCAATAAGTTCGTAAAATTGAGAATAGAGGGACCAAATTTGGTAAAAGTGAGAATAGAGGGACCAAATTCACAATTACCGAATCATCCTAATCACGGGAAAACAGGCATGAAACGGCACGGCAGAACACTACACCGCCAGAAAGAAATGCTACTCCTTCGAAACCGCCTATTCACTCTCTTTTCGCCTCCCTCTCTACGTCTGCCCACCAAAAACCCACATCCGTTAACCCTCTCTTTCAGTAACTCGACCCGAAAATCTCCTAACCCGAGCCCGACCCACCATGTATCTGCTTCAAAGACATCGAAACCACCCCCTCCCTCAGACGCGGCCCGGTTTGTCCGTACAGTTCTTTTTGTGCCGCCGGGTGTGGACCCGGATGAAGTGACGGAGGAGATGATTTTGCCCGGTTCGAATATCGTTGTCGGACCTTATGCGGGTCATGCCCAGATTAAGGAAGTTGAGTTTGTTAAAAGTAGTGGGCGGGCCAAGGATTGTCCAAGAGACGAGCGACCTGAGTTTGCAATATTGGGTCGGTCCAATGTGGGAAAGTCTTCTCTTATCAATGCTCTTGTCAAAAAGAAAGAAGTTGCTCTCACTTCCAAAAAACCAGGTTTGCTTGATGCTTCAAAAAAATGTCACTTAAAAAAAAAAAAATTGTAGTATGGAATTTTTATGTGTTTTGATGGTTATAATTTTTTTAATGATTTGCAGGGAAGACTCAGTTGATAAATCATTTCTTGGTGAATAAAAGTTGGTACTTTGTGGATTTGCCTGGTTATGGGTAAGCAACTCATGTTTCTGATTTCTCCCTTTTTTTTTCAATGTTTTTTTTTTTCTTGGCTGTATTTGGTTAATAAGTATAGTGAACTAGCTGATAATTTCTTGGTGAATAAACTGATGCAAAGGGTATTTGCTTGGAATTTTTTAACTTTCTTTGAAAGAATGCTAACTAGGATGTACATTCTTTATTTTATAAATGGTTTGGGGTTGCTTAGTGTTGTTGTTATATGCAACTATTAAGTGCTTTTCCTCGACAATGAGTAGAATAGCTTGATGGACTTGTCTCGAGATTAAGGGGAATAGCCCAGTTTTGTGAGATTTCCACCAGGTCTAGCTCAGGTGTTTTGAGTGAGGGTTTAGCCTTCAGGTAAGGTTCTACGTTTGAATGGTAATTCTCTCCATTTTGTTCTAAAAGAAAAAGAAAGAAAAATTCTGTTGACATTTATGATATATTCCCGCAACTTTGAGGTGCTTCTATTGTTTTGCCGTGATTTTGTTGGGAGGAACAATTTTGTCTTCCTGGTCTATGGGATTTAAATTGATTTAATTATCCGATGGTTCTTTCTATATCAACTAGTAATATTTTCCTTGTCATGCTTTAAATTTTAACCGATGTGATTTGTGATGGAAAGTTTTTTGTGTTCTACAAAACTGGCAGCTTAAGCATGGTTTTCAATTACATTTTCCCTCATCTATTTTTGGGAAAATTACTAAACAATGGTATGAATGTTTAGCTTCTTTGGTTTGAAGTTAACTAGAAAGAATAATATCTTGCAAAATTAATTGTTGATTGAGGCTTTTGATGGTCTTTTCATAGAAATGGAGTTGCAAATTTGGGGTCTAAAGTGGATCGGCCATTTGCAAATTAATGAATTTGCCTAATCTGATCATTTTGATAATGCACAGGTAGCACAGTTTTGTCTTTTTTGTTTCTATTTCAACCATTGACTGATGGTTGCATCGTTATCTTTCTTTTTTTCCATCTCAAACGTGGTACAAAACTCTTGTTTACTCTTTTACTTGGCTGCTATTTGTTTGAACAGTTTGAGTTAGTTCTTGCCTTCAGATGTATGTTGTCGTATTTACCTTGTAGGGTAAGTGCTGGTAGTGAAAGCAACCTGAGTTGGGCTTTCTTGTCTTACTTTTGTCCATGTTGCTCTAGTCTTTCATCATGAAATTTTTTCTTTTATTAGCAACTCTAACTAAATTCCTAATATTAGATCCATGCTTAATCTTCCTAGGTTGAAGCTGATGAGCATATTGTACACTTATCTTAATGGTATTGTGAAAGCTGCATTTCTATATGCTTAATGCCCTTTGGAAAATTAGACATTGAGTTTCTTATGATGGTTTCTCTTCATGATTTATAAGAGGACATAGAAAAACCAACTTCAGACAACAGTAAGGACCATCCAGTTGTTTTCTCATAGTGGCCTCGTGTGGTTGTTAGATTGTAGTAGAAGATGACCACATTTTAGCGAGGCAGCAAACTGTTTTATGGGAGCTCTTCCAGCTTGTGAACCGACCTGCCATTTCTTTTGAACTCACGTGGAGATGCTTTAGTCAATGACAGCTAATTAATTGTTCGTGATCAATTTGACTTTGAGAGGGCACACTATCAAAGAATTGAATGAATACCCTTAAGAATCTTGCTTGTATTGTCCAACTACATGTCTTGGAAATTAGCATCCTTTGAGTATGTGGTTCAATGAGTGCTTAATAACTCGCTCTGTTTTCAGGTTTGCTAAAGCCCCAGATTCTGCTCGAATGGACTGGTCCTCATTTACGAAAGGCTACTTTTTGAACAGAGAAACTCTTGTAGCTGTCCTACTTCTCATTGATGCTAGTGTCCCGCCTCAAAAGATTGACCTGGATTGTGCTAATTGGCTTGGACGCAACAATGTAAGCTTCTCTTTTATTGTAAACTATTTAGATAATATTATAAATTTCTATGACTAGGTTATATCAGTGCTTTATCATTGTTCTCTGCCATGCCAATGTGTTTCAGATACCAATGACTTTAGTTTTCACGAAGTGTGACAAAATGAAGGGGGGAAAGAAAACAAGGCCCGATGAGAATATCAAGAATTTTCAAGAGTTAATCAGGCAAAACTATCGGGTACATCCTGCGTGGATCATGACTAGTAGTGTCACTGGTTTGGGCAGAGATGAGCTTCTCCTACACATGTCCCAGCTAAGAAACTACTGGGATCAGTAATTGAGGGAAAAAAAAAAAAACCCAAATGTTGTCTTCAAGATTTTTTCCATTTTTGTCTTCTCATTACTTTTCAATTTTGCCAATCAAAGTTATGATCAAAATATAATTAGGATCTGTAACATGCACTTGTGCTGGATGTAGCATTCTTCATATGTATATATGTGAGTGAGTTATTATTTTCTAAAGAGAGAGCTGCATTTTGAGTCTAATCTTTTTTTATTTTAATTATTCTGTTTTGAGTGTCCAATCTTTTATTTGAATGTCCAAGTTTTGATTTTTCTTTTTTCTTTTTGAATTGTCTCTGTAATGTAATATTGGAAAATGTTTATGTGATTGGAATGAACTGATACATGGTAATTTCTAACTAACATGTGGCTCAAAGTAGATTTCATTTGAATTTGTTAAAAAAAATTAAAAAAGAAATAAAAATTTTAATTGAAAAAAAACAAGAAAGGAATTGAAAAAGGAAGGAAAAACTAACCAAAAAAGTTAACTAAACTAATCCAACTTTTCTGATATATAAAGACTAAGCCAGCTGTAATAAATGCACTCACCAAACTGAAAACGAAAAGTTTAAAGAGTACAAACAAAAATTCATAAAAACTCTAAGCTGATCAGTGGAATGAGAGTTTTGATCGAGTGATAAAAACATGATATGGTTCGAAAGTTGTCATCTATAAAGAAAAAAAGGGCTGTTTTGATCGTGGGTTGGACTTTGGTGGTCAAATTTGCGAGAAAATGGATTTGTCTTTAGGGTGTTGGTGGTTGTTTGATTGGTTTTTGGTGTGGGAGAGGTAGATCGGTTGGTTTTTGACGGGAAAAATGGAGGAAAAAGACAAGGAATGCCTCACCGGCGTTAGGATTGGTGAGGGAGAGGTTGCTGGTCGGAAAAGAAAAGTGACAAGCTTTGTGAGGGGGTGTTAGAGTTGTTTGGAGGATAGATTGGCGATTTCTCGAGTGGTTCTTAATGGTTTGGATTGGAAAAATAGAAAAAGGAAGCAAAGAGGGTTGCTGTTTTGGGGACGATCATCCTATTGTCAACGTCCAATCGCTTGATTGCGAAACGAAAGGATTTTGTTGGTTTGCAAGGATTTTCAGACTTGTTGCTGAATGAGTAGGGCCTGTTGGGTTGTTTTTTTTTTTTCCATGGTTTATGACATTCTTTATTAGATACTCCATATTTGCTAATAAAGAAATTCATGAATCATCATGATGCATCATACATTCGTCAATTATGGGACTGATAATTCTTTGAACGTTTCAGTGTAAGAATCAAATGAAAACAAAATGTTTTGGTTTGGGTTTTTTTTTTTTTTTTTTTTTTTTTTTTCAATTCATATTTGAAAAAAAAAAAAAAACAAAACAAAACAAACTTCTATCTGCCGTTTGTGGCTGCCCGGAATTAACCAATTTCGTTGTTATTTTTTATGATGAGTGTTTTCCCAAATTATGGTATTTTTTAATATATATCATGTCTAATTCTTCAGAAAAAAAATGTGAAAGACACAATGCAGTTTTCCGTTTCCTATAAAATCTAGTCAATAGCTGCTGTATGCTTACCTTAAACGTAAGCCTCGAGCAGTTGAAACCGTAGAATTCAACTATATGCATGCTTGCATAGTTGAATTTTACGGTTTCAACTGCTTAGAGCTTTACGTTTGTCTGCAGAAACTTTATGTTATCTTGATTTTCAATGACTTGTCATAAATGCTTATGTCTGGACCAACTGTCATGTGCAGTAAAAGGTTGTTCCTTTGAAGTTCAACGAACTATGGCCCTATTTCTTCGGTCATGGTCCTGTGATTTACTGATTTCCTTCCTCTAGAAGAGTATGTGTATGTCCCTTGTAGCCCTCGCTGTCTTTCTCACTCTTGAAGTTTGACCACGACCATTTTTCTTTTAGTTTTGCATCCAAATGAAATGAATCTGAAGGCATCGATCTTCAGGGTGCACGTACACAAAAACAATTTCCCTAGTTGGACTCTGAATGCATTTTCTGCCATCTGTTTTCTACTTCGTCAAATATCTTAAATAATTTTTGGTGGACCTGTCCTAAGTCTAAACCTTGGATGCATGGTCCTCCAGGCTTCATGCACTGGAAAACCGAGAAAGCTCTGATGCATCAGAGAACCGCGAAAAAGCAAGCTTACGGATTTGTATTGGCAGCAAGAAGATTTTGGGATGTATTTGAATCTGAGACTCCCAAGAATATGAAAATCCCAAACATCTTAAAAAGTACTTGGCTAAGTTATATGAATGCTCCGATTGAATTGGTGCTCCGGGCTGCTGTCTTGCTAACGTTTATCGGTTGGCGTGGGACGAAGGTGCAGTAGGGTAGGTTCGGGGCTTTGAAGTTTGCAGGGGAATCCAGATGTTAAGCTAAACAGAGATCCTCTTCAAGCAACTTGCTGCGAGACAACGTAATACTTGTTTTCTTTGAGCTGGCTTGTCTTTAACATTTGAATTGAAAAGATAAGAGGAACACCATTTTTAGACATCTCTTGCCAATTTATTTTGAAGCGCCATCGTATCTCAGCACTGTGAGTACTTTGCCAATAAGACTGGAATTCTAACTTTACCTCTCAAATAAAATTGAAAGAGATGACATTGCTTTACGTATTTTACCATTTTTTTGGATTGTTTTAATTGAGTCTTTCTACTGATATTTCATCTAATTACCGAAGGACAAGATAGTACTAGGAAGAAATTTACAAGATAAAATGCTTAGTGATCCAAAAGCTAAACAACATTTTTTCAGTAGTTTTTAAGTTCTCAAATTAATAATCCAAGAATAATTATAAACGCGGATAGAAAATTAACAATACAATTAAATAATTAAAAAATAAAATAGAGAATGAAAGAATTTGTGAAGTGGTAAAACCTTAGAATGGGCAAACATCCACGGCCAAACAAATGAAAAAAATAATCCATTAATTTCAAGAACCGATTACAAATTTAAAATTTAGGTCAAACCCACTTACTCCTTAATGCTAATCCCTTACAGGTTCACGGTCTCAAAACTCACTATGTGTCATTCTCTTATTTTAAATCTGTGTTTCCCTCCTTGCTCCATACCACAAAGAATATACATGTGTGTATTGACATACAAAATAAATATATTTCTATAAGACATGTGTCACCAATTGATTTAAAGAAGGATCATGTTAAATTATGAATTATGAAAACTGACGTGAATATGATTCATAATGTAATGCATTAATTATAGATGCAATAATATCTTTTGTATTTGGTGCTATTAATTGAAAAATCTTAATAAAAAATTTTAATGCAGTCGTAAATTAAACATAATTTATCGAATCATGTAAATTTTATATTATGTAATTATCTTTTATTTTTTATATTTTATCTTCTTGTTTGATTTATTTTCTAAAAAGATCATTCTCATATAGCTATAACAATTATTTCGATCATGAATATAAGTTCTACTTTTACATCAAACCTCACCATGGAGTAGGCACAATTTATTCTCTCCTTTCTCTCCTTTTAACTTTGTGTTTCCTTTCCGAGTTGACTAGAAAGCGCGGGGTTAAAAACATTTTGACTTCAGTTTATAAGCTATAGAAATCAGTTTCTCATAAGACTTTTAAACATTTAATTGTCTCATCTTAAACAACATGTTCGTTATAGACGAAAATCGCTGCTTTTTTCAAGATTCCAATCATTCGATTTCTTTTAAGGATGCATCAATCAATTTTAATGATTACAAAAAGTTCTCATCTTTGTGAATAGTTGAAGTGAACTTTTTGCCATTCTTCTTCATAGTCTCCACAGGCTCATCACACTCATTTCGTGATCGAGTGGGCAGTTTTTGGTCCCATTTTTCAATATACATAGCTTTATAAATATCTGGTAACCAAAAATTGAAGCCAACTTCGTATTTTACGAAGGTGTCAGCATTGTACAAATTAACACCCAACATGCTTATTTTCAAAATTCAGTCGTATACTCTTGAAAACTTAATTTGATCTTGTTTTTGGATAGATATTTTCATTCTTCCCTTAAGTCATCTTGATATCCAAGCATATAAAATTGTTCTCTTAATGCAGCTGTGAATTTTGCAAATTTGACGCAAATATAACCCAAGGATATGAAGTTTATTAGTACTGAAAAATAAAATACAATAAATTGCAGAAAAACTCACAAATGTAAATATTTTGACTAATAGGATAATTATGGTCAAGCGTACAAACACTATAAGCAGTCTACTTTAGTTGATTAAATGCCAAACAAAAGCTAGAATAAACTAAAAATTTGGAATTAAAAGTAGAAATATCAAAATTAAGAAAATAAACAAACAAGAAAGTCTTAATTCTTAAATTAGAGCAATCTAGACCAGTTTAAGTCACTACAAAAATAATTGTAGTTTGCGACGGGATATTAGTAGTTGCTTTTAAACCATCGCTAATCAACAAAAAATTACGACGGTGAGAAAAAAACCATCATTTGTGAGGAGTTTAGTGACAATTTTAAAAATCGTTGCTATTTCGATCAAATCCGACGGATTTTGTGCAAATTGACACAAAATTAGCGCTAATTTTAATTATTATTTTTTGCTTTGTGAGGAAGTTGCGACGGTTTTTTTTTCAAAATAACCGTCACAAATATACCAAAATTAGCGACGGTTTTCAAAATGGTTGTTAAATTTTAACCGTTGGGAGGAAATAGCTATTTTTGAATTTTTAATTTTTGGGTAAAATTAGCGACGGTTTCTAAAAGTTTTAATCCCTAAATAGCCACTCGATCCGAATTTTTTCCTCAAATTTTTTTTCATCTCTTCTTCTTCTTCCAAATCGCTATTTTCTCCTTCTTATTATCTCTATAACTTCTTTAAATCTCCTTCTTTCTCTTATTTTCCTCTTCACCTCCATTTCTCCCCTTTCTTCCTCCCTTTTTCTTTTTCTTTCTCCCCTTCCCTCCACCTCCCTTATCCCAACATCTCCACTCGTGAACAATGGCACGACAAGTAACACCACCGTAGC